AATAATTGACATATTCATATTTCATCGCGAATATCTCTTTGATAATAAAAAAATATATATTAATTTGATAATCTAACATGACAGGGGTCTATCTATCACTATCACTTGAATAAATTTTCTTAGTTTTGCATCATTTTATATAACAACAAATTTCGGGAAATTACACTGTAAATGTCGCGCGTAAACTTCCCTCAGGTAACGAACAACAGAAACAAATTAACAATACGTAACTACCGGTAATAAAGCATCGGACACCGAACAAGGGTCGGTTATATAACCACTGACAAACTGTAAGAGCGCGGACAATTCCAACAGTCAGACGGACAAATGCGTTGGAAGAATGGAGCCAAAATTTATGGCTTACTATTCGTTAACTCGCCTTAGACGCGAGGAATGTGTCTTCAACCTTGCCCACTGCCCATTTGGGACGTTCGGGGTAATTTGTAATTTTTTCACTAAAGTACCGGAGATATTTCTTTGTTATGTGTCATTGTGAGGTCGTATTGGAGTGGCTTGTTTTATTTTATGCTAGCTTTTTCTCGCAGTTATGACTGCGTGAATTGAAATAATGAGTGTATCAAACTACTGAATATCATACAATACCATCATCATCATCATTTAATTGTTCATTGCTGAACATAAGTTTTCCCCTTTGGGGATTTTGCCAGTAGTTGCCACCATGTTTCAAAAGAGACACTGCTGTCCATCCCTTGCCCTCATTTAGTCTTCTCTTAGGACACCCACGACTGTAGCCGTTGTAGTGCATATAATCTCCGACATGCTTTTGTTTCACTTAACTTAATGTAATTTTTTTTACAGCACGACATATAACCACACCATCCTAAGCGAACACAGAGTGATATGATCTATGAATTGCCCGTATTCATAGATGAATGAAAAAAGAGAGTGTTTTACTCTCAATGGTTGACCGTACCATGCCGGCTCACTAAGTGCTTTTTCACGCTTCGTTTGAAGGATCCGAGGTTACAGGATGAAGGAAACACGTCACAGGAAAGGAAATTCCACATTGTTACGGTATGGTTCACGTAAGAGCTGGCAAACTTATGCGAGTGCAGGCGGTCTATCGTATATGGATATAGTCACTGGCCCATCCTCATGATGCAATATCGAAAATAGCTAAAATAAGAGAATGAAGTTCTTCGGAGCACTCGCCAAGAAATAGGCAGTAGTAGACACTAAGAAAGGCTACGTCTTTATGTAATTGTAAAAATTCTAGAGTTTTGTTCACGTCAGCATTTCCCATGACACCTACAGCTCGTCTCTGCAAAACATCCAAAACGTGCAGGAGATACTGAGTGGGGACAACTTTATTTTAATTTATACAAATTCTATTCATATATCAAATTTTGAAGTTACAAGTACTAGGAGGCTGTACGGGCAGTCACAATTAATCACACCATTTAAAAAATTTTTGTCAACTTCTCGAAATCCAAATTGTTTTATAGTCAATATAGCTAGGTATAGATAACAATTTACTTCGCAAATATTAATCAAAAACATATAGCAATGAATGAGATGCTTTGTAGAAACATTACATTGTAGTTCCACAAAGAAAAACAATCCACAGAGATAAAAAATCAACTCTAAATTATGCCATGTTTCAAATTAAAATATTTTCAACATTACTACAAACAGCATATAGTTTATGGGCTTAGATTATATTTATGGGTTAATATATTTTATATATACATATTTACAATAGAAGTTTCTCTTTTTGTGGAGAAAAATGTAATTGTAATCATATATATATTCGTATATTCTTATCGGAACAAATCTTAGGAGTTATGCACGGAAACGTTCGCACAAAGCAAGGAGCGCCGAGAATCCCAAAGTATTAAAGCATGAAAGGAAACTGTCCGGAACTTATTGAAGCAATCAGATTGTGCAGATTCCGTTTAACATTAGCGAAATTCTTGCCGGAATCCAATCGCATTAAGAGCCCATTTAAACTTTTTGCCGCGAAAGGATTCTGTAATTTCTCTCTTACTGAAAAATAAATAGGCCTCACAATTTTGTTTCGTTACAAAATACTCTTGCATTCTTTTAGACAAAACTTTTGAAAATTTTTGTAAAAATTAGATATAATACTTTATTGTCAAAATAATAATTGGATTCACTTTACGTGTATTTTTGTAGAGAATTCTAGTTATTAAAATGTATACAACAACAATGTGCAAATACAAAATTTACGAATTATTATCGATTACTCATAGAACTAGAGAAAGAGGTAATCACACTACGTAACCACAAAAAAAATAGATGAACTGCGAAATTATTTTAATACTTGACAAAATGTATTCCGCAGTTTATCAGTGTATCTATGCTATGTACTTAGATAGGATATCCCTATCCATGTACCAAATTTCATTGAAATCTTTTTAGTAGTTTTGCGTAAAAGAGTAACAAACATCCATCCATCCATCCATCCATCCATTCATTCATTCATGTAAGTATCATAACAAACTTTCGCGTTTATAATGTTAATACGATAATAGGATCCACACTTTATAACACTTAATCTTGCTTTATTTTAATAATTACTTTGCAATATATCCATAAGAGAAAAATATGAAAACATAATTTACATTCTGAAATAAAAAAAAAACAAACTGCCTCAGCTTAAAACGCTGTTGATTTTAGGCAGAAATTAGACTTGTAAATTTCAGGCACGTATCTCCGCAGTGCTGTAGGTTTTCATGACCATCGTTTTGCAACACATTGTTACAGTAGATTGCAAGTTTATATCGGAAGCCTTATATGAGAACCATTTACATATAATAAAATTGGATATCTATAAGACTATATACGTACATATATATAATTACATAGTAACTAGATAATGATCCAATTATGCGTAAGAAATGTTTAAGAAAAATTTATATACGAGTATGTGGTCGTAATAAGAGCAATAGATATTAAACTAATATTTTTAGAATTTGTTTATTTGTATATTAACTCAATGTAATTTCTCTTTCTCGCTTTGATGGTTAAATACAAGATTTGGTGTATACATTATTTTTATATGCCATCTAAAAATGGTCCTTCGAAAATCCGCGCAAAAGATGGACGAAGTCGCGCACAATAACTAGTAAGTTTATATTTTAGGCAATTTTAAAAAGAAGAAAATCCTTAGTTTTCAATATGTCTTAATATTTTTGTGGCTATAGTATGCGATTACATTTCTAATCAATTAATTGATTTACACGATTCTTACCTTTTCGTTTCAAAGAGATTTCACGCCGGCTGGTGGAAACCTCTGGTGACTAGAAGGTTGGCCAATACTTTGGTCAACGCATTTCCATTGCTATTCAGCGTGGAAATGCAGCAAGTATCCTAGGCACCCTACCAGCTGGCAGTGATCTCAAAGAATTTTTTTTTCTTTAAATATATATATATACATTTATTTTTTAATTACTTATCTCTAATTATATATCTAGATTAACTATCTCTTCTATTTAGATATTTATAGTTTCAAATTCATTTTAATATGCACATTATATACATATATATTTTCTACTTTATCCATCAATAAATCCAAGTAGATATTTTCTGACGATTAAAAAAAAAATTGTCAGTAAAGGAATGACAAAATCAACTTGTTATTTATTGGCATTAATAGTCAGCTTCCACAATATTGTTGGCAATAAATAGAAACAACATTCGCAAGTAGATATACTGAGCAAAGCAAGTCACATAGTTCAACCCTCATTACCCGACGCTAGTTTAGTTTGTATGGTATTCCCACAACTAAATTAGGTAGCACAAATAAACGAACTTCTTCGAGTTAATACTGAAAATGGCGTATTTATAACGCTTGTTGTTACTTTTTAAACACCAACTGGATACATTGGAATCGTTTCTGAAGCACAGTGGTACTTAGAAATAAGTAACAACTATCTCTAAAATTAAAATTTCAGTTTGATATGACACCAAAATCTTTCTAAGAATCAATATGAATTTTTCTAAAAGATTTAAGTCATAATTATTATAAATTTAGTTAATGATGGTATATAAAAGAGTAATGTTATAAAATTAGTAAATTAAAATATAAGGTTAAATAAAGAGATAGGTTTAGAGAAATAGCTATAGATTCCACCCTATCAGGATCCCTGACGTCATCAATAGATTTCGGTATAAATGACATTAAAAAAAAGTTTCATTTAATTTTAAACTTTATCTGAGCACTAAGTATTATCTACTATTCTCATCTTTATGTATAATATAATATAGAATAATGAATTCGTTAATTTGTAAAAATATTTTATTAAGACTTGAACCGATATTTGAACCCTAAACAATGAGAGAAGCGTACTTAATTTCCAGCCACGAGTGTTAGTTTACCATTTTCTTTTTCTACACTTTTCGTTACATCCGCACGCACCATGTGAGAAATGGGAGATGTTTTCTAAAGATAGTCTCACGTTCCTTGCCTCAACGAAATCTCTATGCTAATGCATCAGAACTGTAAATTTAAGCTTAAAGCTTAAGGTTAATAAGCATTTTAATACATGGTAAAACGCTGATATTAAGACTTGAAACGTTATTTAAAGCCTAAACATTAAGAGTTATTTGATTTCGCCTGGTGACTAGCTTGATTACTGTTCAAAATTGACCTTTTTACATACAATGACATTTGTAGTTTTTTATAAAAAAGAAAATTGATAAAACAATTGATATAGAAAAAAATACAGAATATACTTCAAGTCAACAGACGGTGATTTTATTTTACAACATAATATAATAAATAATATAATATAAATAATATAATTAAATACTAAGAACCAGCACATATTAAAACATAATTAGTGGTCCTTCGATAGCCTACGTAATTGGATATATAATATTAAAAAAAAAATATTAACAGAAGAATAAAACAATCCCAACAACAAACCCTTGATCAATAGATCACACAATTGTAAGTAACCTACATTATATTATATATACAATACTTACACGATAATTACCAATTATTAAAAACTATGGCCGATTTAAAGAAATTGTTTAATAAACGCACAGCAATAAAAGGCATTCTCACGCGTCATTATACATTCATCAGCGATATAAACAACCAACAAAAGCTGTATGAAATAAAATCTAGACATAAAAATTTTGAAAAACTATTAGATGATTATATGGAAATTCAGGTAGAAATAGAAACTTTACAAGATGAGGAATCAGATGCAATAGAAACAGAGAACTTTGAAAGAAAATATTACGAAACTTCAGCTATGTATTTAGAATTTTTAAATATCACGACAAATAATACTTCAGACATGAACACCAACATCCCTTCAATAAATCCAATAAAACAAGTACCCATACCACAACTCATCATCCCAAATTATTGTGGTGAGATAAGAGAGTGGAATAATTTCAAAAATTTATTCCTCTCCGTGATTGATAAGAATAGTACGTTGTCAAAAATCGAAAAATTCTACTATTTGAAGTCTTATCTAAAGGGAGAAGCTGCGAGCTTAATTTCATCATTACCAATCAAGGAGGATAATTATGAAATCGCTTGGATGACACTCGAAAAACGATATGAAAATAAAATGCTAACTGTCAATCACTATCTAAAAATTTTAAACTACAATACGATTACGAGAGATAATATCAAGGATTTTCTCAGTAAATTACAACAATCTTTAGATGCATTGAATGCAATGCAAGTTGATATAACTGAGGTAATATTAATATATTTAATTACTCACAAGATGGACAATTCCTTAAGAATGGCATGGGAATTAAGCAGACAAACCACTGAAATACCAAAATTGATGGATTTGATGGACTTTTTAAACTATAGATCAGTTGCGTTCGAAAATGTCAAAGATAAAAATACTCATGCATATAATACGACGCCTCATTCTCATATTAAAAAGACGTCTCAACTATCAACTTCTCCAGCCTCAGAAACTTGCCCGTTGTGTGATAAAAATCATAATTTACAAGGATGTAGGAATTATCTAAGCATGACGCCGCGACAACGAAGTGACTATGTGAAGTCTAATAAGCTTTGTTATAATTGTTTATATCCTTTTCAGATCCCTCACAAATGTACCAAGGTCACTTGTAAATTTTGTCAAAAACGTCACCATCATACATTACATATGAATATGCATCATAGGGCAGGCACATCCACTCAAGGTGAAATAAATCCAGTGACTCTATCTACAAACGAGCCACGTATAAACGAGACAGAGACGCCAACCCCACATGCAGCTGCATTAGTTGCTAGACCTACTCAATACGCAGGTACTGTATTATTAGGCACTGCCATAGTCAATTTACGTAGTCGAAACGGCAACTGGATTAACGCACGCGTGTTATTAGACTCGGGTAGCGAAGTAAATTTTGTAACTAAACACTTAACAGATAAATTACAATCCACACTGATTCCAAATCATTGTGTAGTACAAGGTATTGGTAGTTTGCCTAAAACTACGCATTACTATTCTACTTTAAAAATATTTTCAACAACCTCTGACGTTACTTATAGACTTAATTGTAATATTACTGAAAGGATTACCGTTCCACTTCCTCATATGGATATTAACATTGCTAGGTGGAATATATCTACGGAATTTACACTTGCCGATCCTCAGTTTTTCATAAGAAACGACATTGATATACTCATCGGAGCAGAGTTATTTTTCCATATTGTTAATGGAGAAACTATCTCTTTAGGATCTAGACGACCCTCTATGATTAAATCCACATTAGGGTGGCTGATATCAGGTCCAGTAGAATTTAGAGGTGATAATAATACGGTTGTTTCTCTTTGCTCTTACAATGATATTTGCTGTAAGGACTTGTTGACCAAGTTCTGGGAGCAAGAGGAAATTAGAGATCCTCTACCAGTAGTTACTACGTCGCAACAAAAATGCGAGGATATTTACGTGAGTACTACGGTTAGAGATAGCGTAGGCCGATTCATAGTCAATTTACCGGTCGACGAACAAAAGTTACAAGGTATAGGAAATTCGTTTAATGTCGCCTACAAATTTTTACTTGCTTTGGAATCTAGGTTTAACAAATTACCAAACTTAAAACGTCAATACAAGGAATTTATCAACGAATATATTGAGTTAGGTCATGCATACATTATACCTAACTTTCGTTATAATGAAAATGAGATTGCATGTTATCTTCCACACCATGCGGTGATACGTGCCGAGGCAATTTCTACAAAGCTGCGTGTAGTATTTAATGCTAGCGCCAAAACGTCTTCCGGGCTGTCACTTAATGATATTCAATACGATTGCCCAGACATTCATACAGACATTGTCGATATTTTATTGAGAATTCGTTTATTAAAATACTTTTTTTGCTGTGATATAGTTAAAATGTTCCGGCAAATAAATATAAATAAATTACAGACATCATTGCAACGAATATTATGGCGTGACAACCCTACAGAAGGGTTAAAATGCATAGAGTTGACAACAGTCACTTATGGTACTAAGTCAGCGCCATATCTCGCATTTCGTACATTAATCGAACTCGCACGTCGAGAAGGTGACTCTTTTCCACTGGCTTCTCCAGCTATTTTCCATAATACTTACATGGATGACATCTGTTACGGTGCAAATACACTTGAGGAGTGTAAGGAAGTAATATCTCAATTACAGTCACTTCTACGGAGGGGAGGCTTTCAGTTGCACAAATGGTCAGGTAACCATATTGAAATTTACAATCATATAAAATCACTACATAATGACAATAGTCCAAGTAGTAATACGCTTTTCACAGATAAGGAAAATATTAATATTCTAGGTGTTACATGGAATAAGAACAGTGACGAATTTATTTTAAATATTCCAATCAATACTTTAAGAGTTTACACAAAACGGTCTATTCTTGCTTTTGTTGCGAAAATTTATGATCCCATGGGTATTTTAGGACCTGTCGTAATAAGAGGTAAATTATTCTTACAAAAAATATGGAAACTAAAGTTAGGATGGGACGAAGATTTACCTAATTCGCTTAAGCAAGAATGGATTAAGTATCAAGACACTCTAGTTTACGGTAACAATGAGATACATATACCTAGACGCATATTTAATTCCATTCCATTTGAAATTGATTTAATCGGGTTTTGTGACAGCAGTTCCGTTGCTTACGGAGCGTGTATTTATATGCTTGTTTATTATCCTAATAAAAAATGTACTTGTTCCTTAATATTTGCTAAGTCGAGGGTAGCACCAATTAAGGGTAGTACTATTCCTAAATTAGAGCTAAACGGTGCAGTATTCCTATGTACTATGATGAATAAGATAAAAAATATATTTGGAATGATTTGTCGCATTAATAATATTCATTTATTCACTGATTCATCAACAGTGCTGTATTGAATTAATTCTAATTTCAAACAGAAGGAAGTTTACGTTAAAAATCGAATTACCAAAATACATAACTTTTGCAATACTTCAGAATGGGCTTATTGTAATACGAAAGATAATCCTGCTGATCTTCTTACCAGAGGAATATCGTTACGAGAGTTGCAATGTTCAGACATTTGGTGGTCAGGTCCACTATGGTTAACAAACCTAGAGGTGGATTCATGGCCAATTAAAAAACATCCTTTTCATATATCAGAGGTTGAAGTTGTCCATTCTCCAACTTCACACATTCTGACATTAAGAGCTCCTTACATATCTTACGATTATTTTAATACTATTTCTAAAAGATTTTCGAGTTTTAATAGATTACAAAGAGTAATTGCGTATTGCAAGCGTTTCATCCACAACTTACGGGATGGTAGCAAAATTACAAGCCTACTATCTGTTATTGAGTTACAGAACAGTCATGATTTTATTATTAAGGTTATACAGGCTGAGAGTTTCAAAAATAAGTTGTCAAGGTTAACTAAGGGAGAAGATATATGTAGCAGTAGCCCAATAAAAAGACTATGTCCCTTTATTGATGATAAGGGACTTCTACGAGTTGGTGGTCGATTAATTAACAATCAAAAACATCCCCTTCTTTTACCCAATCATAATCATGTCAGTAAACTTATAATTCGTAAATTACACTGGCAACTGTTTCATTCAGGTATACAAACCACTCTCGCTAATATACGCTTAAAATACTGGCCGATAAGGGGTAGGAACCAAGTAAAATCGGTAATTCACTCATGCAGTATTTGTATTAGATATAGAGGGCGTACTTTTGAACAAAAAATGGCTAATTTGCCATTTGCTCGCGTTACTCAACAAAGACCATTCTTACATGTAGGTGTCGACTTTACTGGTCACGTGTTAATAAAACTTAATCGAAAACGTAATAGTTCTTTTACAAAGGGTTATATTTGTCTATTCATATGCTTGTCAACACGAGCAATTCATTTAGAATTAGTTTGTGATTTATCAACAGAATCTTTTATTTTAGCATTAAAACGTATGATTTCGCGACGCGGCATTTGTAATACCATTTATTCGGATAACGCAACTAATTTTAAGGGCGCTAACAATGAGCTCAACCGCCTTTATCAAATGTTTAAGGACGATACGTCATACAATAAAATATTATCATATACTTCGGAATTATCTATTAATTGGAAATTTACAGTTCCGTTGGCTAGTCATATGGGAGGTATTTATGAAGCAGGGATAAAGGCAGCTAAGAACTTGATGAAGCGGCAGTTAGGTAATACAAGGCTTCCTTATGAAGAATTAAATACGATAGTCATTCAAATAGAAGGGATCTTGAATTCTAGGCCGTTATGTGCGATGTCAGATTTACCTAATGACATGACCTGTCTTACCCCAGCTCATTTTTTGATAGGCAACTCTTTGATGGATATACCTGAGCCTAACACGATGCATATTCAACACAATAGATTATCACTTTTTCAAAGAATTACAGTATTAAAACAACAATTTTGGCGTCAATGGAAATTACAATATTTAGCAGAGTTACAAAGTCGTCCTAAATGGATGAATGTTAGGAAAAATATACAGAAGGGTGACCTTGTTATAGTTAAAGATGAGGATACTCCTCCCAGTGTTTGGTCGTTGGGAAGAGTAATCAATATATACCCTAACCAGGATGATGATCTCGTAAGGTCAGCCTTGATAAAAACCATTAGAGGTACCTTTTTAAGACTTATTAATAAGCTGACCTACTTGACAGCACATGATAATTAATTTTATATATACAAATATTATTGTTTACTTTTATTTCTACTAGAAGATAATAATTTATTTTAAGTATTTTTATGATTTGTTAAATTCTCTTACATCTTTTCCTAGGTGGAATATGTTCAAAATTGACCTTTTTACATACAATGACATTTGTAGTTTTTTATAAAAAAGAAAATTGATAAAACAATTGATATAGAAAAAAATACAGAATATACTTCAAGTCAACAGACGGTGATTTTATTTTACAACTAATATAATAAATAATATAATTAAATACTAAGAACCAGCACATATTACAAACAATTACAATGACTGTATCAAATAATACTCCAATAAGTTGTCCAATCATTTATTTTTATATGAAATAACTAGAAAACATTGTTACTCAATTTACATATAAGCAAGAAAATACAACAAATATTGAACATAATACAAATTATAAGGAAAATAATAATAATAAACAGAAGAACAAGAAAAAAATAATACAAATCATGATGTAAAATTACTCTTCAATTAAATAATCATAACAGTCTATAATTCTACTTTTATAGTAATATTATCCTTTTATAGTAACATTAATTTTGCATATTAGTAATATGAAAGAAAGAAAGAGAATATCAATACATTTACAATGTAGCTTCAAATACTTTACTACTATTGCTTTTATGAACATCAGACAAATTCTTATACCTGTATCAAATCTCTCTCTTTTGGAATATATCTGCGAACTTATACCTCTTGACAACATATAAAAAGTTTGTTGTTTTTAAACATAATTTCTAGCAAAATGTTTACTTAATTTGTAAGTATTAACTAATCTAAGATAAATCGTACTTTGTATTCGTTATATTGTGGCGCTAGTTTCTAAACTCAATTTACATTTATGAAGTACAATGTAAAGCACATGCCTGAGAATCACAACAAACAAAGCTAACGAGATTGTCTGCTCAAATCGCAACGCCATACTGTACGTTACATTTTGTTCTCAATTTCCGTAAAACAAAGTGTAACAATACGACATTGCAATTACTAGGCCATAAATCTAGGTGTAGCATCTTACGATTCGCTAGCGAGATCCCGGTTTGGAAGCAATACGCGTGCTGGTAAATGCTCCCAGTAGTTTATTGGGCAACGTGAGGGGAATACAGGACGGCGGAAAATTCTCAGCAATTAACCGGGGGCCGTTCTTGTAGAGTCAAACAGTAATGTAATTAGAAGAAACGTTCGAATTATGATTGTGTTTGTTGTTTACTGATTGTTGCCTTATTCGGCTTAAAAAATACCATTTAGACGATAGCAGCAGATACTTTTGTTCTGTTCTTTGTAATTTTTAAGCGAATTTAAAATAAGAACGTTCTTTACTTTCTATTCTTTTTTTTTTCTCTATCTATTATATAACCAATTTTGAACCAAATTTGATAATCACTTTTTTCTTTTGACTTAATATATGTTCCTTATTAGTTTTATGATAATCGAACCAGTTTGTGATGAAGCAAAATTAATTTATAGTTACGCGATTACGTGTTCGTTATTCTAATATTTATAACAATTGAAATCGCTTTTTTATGGAGGATAATTTATATAGCTATGGCCGCAAATTACAGTGATAATAACATTATTATTATGTCCTAACTTTGGCAATTAATACTAAATAAGTTAATATGCAGTATCGCATTATGCAAGCTAGTTTACATTCTGCGGTTTCGGCTCAACATTGAACACTAATCAAAGCACAGTGACAGGCCGCTTACATCGGCTGGCATGTTGTCGTGGATAGTCGGACATATTGGTAGACAGGTCCTAAGTTGATTGATTGATTGACGGAGCTACAGCCTTGATTGCATTTAGTACAATATTTACTCTATTAATTGGATATTTGCTTCTGAATTTTATAATTGTTATTGTGATAAGTTAAAAGAAAATACCTGTGATATTAAGCACATCTACGTACATTTCATTTATTAATAAATTAAATTATAATTTAAAAATATGCAAAATTTGTTGTAGTATTTATTCATCAAATAAGTTTATATACTGAAAACTAAATCATAAAATTGTAATTTCTTATTATTATTTTTTAAATTTTACAAAATTCTCACCTCCCCTCTTAAGGAGAGGAGATGGCAACTAACCCCCGGCAGAAGCACAATCGTCCGGGGTTCAGGACCCCAGGGAGAGAAACCGGCGTACAATGCGGGCAGAATCTAAGAGCACCGCTTTCTGCATCTTCCCGGGAATGAGCCGCCTCGGAATCCCAACCGTCTGAGATGTTGTTCCAGACTAACTGGGATAAGACCGTTCACCGACAAAACGAACATTTTTATTATTAATAATTATTATTAATGGATCTCATAGAATAACAACGAGGAAAATGGGAAATATTTTTGGAAAAATTTGACTGTTAGATGAACTTGAGGTCAAGTCTGTGTCTTGTAAGTCACAATACCATAATATTACCATGTGTGTATAAAAATAAAATAGATAGAAATGAAATTAGGCCAATTGGCTAATTATACTTAATTCTGAATTAACAATTGCCAAAGCAATTAAGTTGACTAGACGTCAAAACTTAAAAGAAAGAGCATATTCCTTTTTATAATAGCGGTATGCTACCGCAATTATTTTGGTGTTGCAGATACTTAAGGGTGGCGGTAGTCATTTACCATCAGGTGAGCTACATGCTCGTTTGCTCCTGTAATATAACTACATATAAAAAATATTGTTTATTTTTTTTATAGGGCATCAATTATTTATTGGTAGCGATACTTTAGTAGCTGGTTTAAATAAATAGGATTATAACATTTGTAAGACAAATCCCTAACATTAAGTAAAACAAAAAAGATAGAAAAATGAACGGAATGCAAAGAACAAGACTAATCCGGAGAGCTTGTGCACCGCTTTGAATGTAAATTATACATTGGAAATTTTTAAAGTATCTTATCTGATCTTACATCAGCTTTAGCAAGAACGCTTATACTCGATCGTACTCTAATCCAAAGATTAAAACTTAACATCATAAACTATAAATAGTATAAAAATATTATTTTAATGGATCATCTAATACAGTTGTTATCGCTTTAAATTATCTATTGGCATTGAATTTTTTTTTTATAAAACTTAGAATGGCAAACAAGATGACGGCCCACCTGATGGAAAGTGGTAACCGTCGCCTATAGACATGAGCAGTACCATGGACATAACAGAGTATACTGTTTCGTCCATGTTACCCCCCATGCGTTGCCATTCCTGAGGACTCAGGTATTATTCCACCATTCCACCATTCCATTCGTACCCAGTAAATACACGCCACATCCCACCCTTCAAACCGAAACACAGGCATGCAAATACAACTGCTTCACGGTTGAAACACGAATGGGATAGAGAATGAATATTGGCCTTCCTGATTATTTGTCACAATGTTGATAATCCATGACTGAATAATTCTGATCTCTTATCTCTTTACAATATTGAAAGCTCTATTTCAACATTACTTCAGTTTAAACATCTGTTCACTATTGAACATAGACATTATAGGCTATCATAAGAAATTATCTTGAGCCATTTACATCTACTGACTCATTTGAACACAGTTGAGATTGTTTCTTATAAGAGGTCACTCATTCATCATTTAATAGTTATCCGTAGCGCAGTTTTTAAATAAAAATAAAAAATTAAGCAAGGCACATTGCTTTAGGTAAATAAGGTACGGGGTTCAAATCCCGGTCAGGCCAATTTAGGATAAGAAATCTTGTGAGTTGACTTGAGTCTGCAAGTTTCGGGTTGTGCTCCCAGAAGTTTGTTTTTTGATTCCTCATAGTACAGGGTATTTTAACTCGAAGATCAGATAATCGAAGTTATGTATATATACCATAAATATATATAAAACTTGAAAAAATATAGATGATATCATTATATATAAGTATATTTTTAAATGCTGTCTCTTTGAACATTTTAAGTATACTTTTAACTTCATACAAACAGTTTCAGGGGTTACAGTTCAACCACAGAAATCACAGACTTTTGCATGGTTTTGAAACTCTCAACGGTCAATATTAGTGTCCGAGAGGAGCAAACATTAATTACAAACTAATTGTGAAACCACAAACGCTTGAAGGACCCTAGTTATTTATGTGTTCATAGCTTCACTGCTATGTCAAAATTATCATATAACACTGCATCTATTTTCAACTTAAAACATATACTGTTTAAGATTGAATTTGGTTTGAAAATATCAATTCATAAAATAAATTCAGAATATCTTGTTGTGCCGTGGCGCACCTGTTATTAATTTTGATGTTTAGCGTAAGTATCCTTAGAGATTACCCACAAAATTGTGTGGACGTTCAGGGATATATTAACAAATTGGAATGTTGAGATTCGTCATATTTCTTACTTGATATAAATGCGCAACTTTTCCGTATAAATTAACTTATTTTGTAGTCCAAATAAAATGTTCAACAAACGAATAGAGCCTCAGCCCAGTTAATGTACAATATATAATAAAAAAGTAAATTCTAATTTAATACGTCTTTTTTTATATTAATTTGTTTTCTAACTCAAAATTTATATCTACTATATTACAATTGTAATACAAAATAAACATGTCAGAACATCTTGTAATTTTGAATGATATTGATTTTAGAAATGATGTATGAAGATTGCTAAATTTTTATTTAGTTACATGAGATTTCTAAGTTATGTTTATTTAGAAGATCATATTCTCAAATAACCAATTTACTGAAATTGATCATCATTAAATGATTATAACTTTATTTGATATATTCTTATGTTACGGTACGCGCATTTCTACATAGTTATTTTTTCATGATATCTTAATAATAATCGTGGTAACCAAAAAGTATTTTTGTACTCACTTTTTTCATAATTTTTTAAATACTGTACTATGATTGGGCCCTAAATA